TATACTTTGGTTTGAGGAAAAAAATTAATGTTTATACTTACATGCATCTTAGTTGAATATAACATGAATAGAACACTTGCAGAAAGCTCAAAAAAAATGTTGTACAATAGGAAGATGTTACCGGAGAAGATGCAAGCTCATGGAGAACATACTGCAGATACATCAGACATGTATACATTCAGACAGTGGGCAAGCTGGAAGAAAACAGTAATGGAACTCTCAACTCTGTAACATTAATCTTTATAAACAGCATGTGATAATTAGTTAATCGCAGAACATTACCTCTGCACAGTCATATTCTTGCAATCTCCGGTCAACCTTCTCCACATCTCTGCAGCTTACGCAAAATTGTGTCGACTTTATTCCTGCAAGAATTATAGTCACATTTCAGATTTATATTCAAAATTCAGATTAAATTATTATTTCAAACTTGATGAAAACAAGAAACAATAATATTTCAAACTTCTTATTGTTAGGATCAAAGAAGAGCCGACTACAGCTTGCATATCTATATAATATTAGAACCCAAAGAAGAAATGTCCTCACGTATCTATATGCTTCAGATTTCGGCAAACTGAGCAGTCATCTCTAGATAATGAAAAAAGGGCCATCTCTACGACTCTACCTGGGCGCCGCGGAGGTCGGGTGCAGCGTCATCCAAGAGCTCCTTCCGAGTGAAGACCATGGCGAGGAAGATGTTGACAGCGTGAGCAATCCAAGAGTCCGCCGTGATCGATGACCAGATGGAGGCCGTGATTGGACGCTAAAACGGAGAACACTTGTAATTGGATCAGATCCCAATAAACATAACCTGCAAAGCAGATCAAAGCACACACAACTGCAGGCACGCATCCAATAAAGGACATTTGGTGTGCACATGAACGACTAATAATCTTTGAACGGGATCAAAGTTAGTTCGCAGCGAAGAGAAGGGGTGGCATACCTATTGGGCGCTCGTTTCTGGCTAGCGATTAGCGCCCGGTGGCGTGGAGCAGCAACGGCGTGAAGCAGCGAGCCAGCGACGGCAGGGTAGGTCGTGGTGTTTTCGGCGGCGTGGAGGCGGTGGCGCGTTCAGCGGCGGGGCGTATAGGCGGCGTTGACGGCAGGGCAGGTCGTGAAGGCGGTGGTGTTTCCGGAGGTGAGGTGCCGGTGCAGGTGCCGTGTGCATGACGCTCCTAGTCGCGACCTTGGCGTGGAGGCGTCCGGTGGAGACGAGGCACAGCGATGTGAAGGAGAGATGGGCGTGGCTCCTCGCAGATCTGCATGGGGTGCTCGGAGGGGTCGGAGCAGGGGCGGGGCGAGGTGCCTGTGCAGGTGCGTGTAGCCACCTCCGTGCTCCGGTCGACAGACAGACCTTGGTCGGCGCCGGAGGTGCTCGCTATTCCCGTCCCTCGACCTCGGCCTCCACGTCCGTCATGGATGTCGGGGCCCGGGGGTGCTGCCGCTGCTAAGATCGAGGCCGCCTTCGTGGTCGCGTCGCTCCCCGTCGCAGTCGCCGAGACCCGTGCAAGTGCGGGCGTGCGCCCGTGCCCTCGTGCGCGCGAGAGAGATGGAGAGCGAGGACGTCGAGGAGCGACGCACGGAGCCACCAAGAAGGCTAGACGGGGGTTCCGCAGGTCTACGCGGCCGCCGGCGGCGCGTCTAGATGCGGGCGGGCGCGGGCGATGATGGTGCGCGTGCGGCGGCGCGGCCTGCTGCGGGCGGGCACGGGGGCAGGGTGGGTGCGATGGGGGCGCGGCGGCGGCGTGGCCTGAATCACGGGAGCGAGTGGGATCTCGCGAAGGGGAGCACACGCACGGGGGAGGGGGAGCGAGCGGGATCTCGCGAGCGAGCGTGCGAAGTAGAGGAAGTAGAGCGATGAGGTGGGCTCGCGTGCCGTCGGTCCCACATGCCGGCGCCTTTCATCGGAGTCGCGGGAGGGTATCACACGGACGGGAATGAAGAGCGACCCCAAAAAAAGTCGCACAAAAAAATTATCTTACTTTTGTTCTTTTTAGTTGTAGGAGATATTTATCCTAATATATACATGTTTCCTTGGTCTACGTAGTGGAACATAAGTGTGTGCATAGTTTTAACTTAATAATGATAGAATTGTGTATTTCAATTAGCTTTGTGCATACATTGTACTTATAGATGTTGAATTATTTTTCATAGTAGCTTATATTAGCATTTACATGTAGATTTGAGAGATTTTTGTTAATTTTTATAATGGGTTATTTGAGAGATTTTTGCTAATTTTTATAATGGTTGAGATGGATAATTTAGGTACAAAATATATAGGTGTATATTACATTATATTATTATAAGAAACGTGATGCCTAAGAGAGGGGGTGAATTAGACAACTTAAAAATCTACTTCTAACAGTGGCCTCTAATTTTCACCTTAGCAAAACCTATGCGAATAAATAAACTAACTAAATGTGCAACTACGATTTTGCTAGGTGTGTTGCTATCTCTACCGTAAAAGAGTTACGTACCTTAGATTCCAATCCAATCAACTAGCCTATCAAACTAAGTTAGGAAAGTATGCACGCACCCAAAGTACATAATATAAACGCGGAAGGTAAAATGGCGATAGAGATGCAAACTCCCATCGACGACTTCGGTATTTTTACCGAGGTATCGAGAAGCTCACGCTTCCCCCTAGTCCTCGTTGGACCCCTCGCAAGGGCCAAGCTCTCGGTCGCCTAACTCCATGGATAGCCTTGGGCTTTCCCCACGCACAAATGGGTCTCCGATGTGCCTTCCGGCAAGCCTCTCCCGGACCGTTCCCCGCTGTCTTCACTATCAAGCTTCCGGCCATCAATGCAGGCCTGCAAATCTAGAAACAAAAAAAGCAAAAAGGGCAGCTATTATATGTTTGCACCTTGCAGTAATAATTCATCTCCAAATGAGGCAATGCAGAAGATACAAACTGAAAACAAATATCTTCAAGTACTACATAATATTATAGTCAATTACAGTCATGACTCATGAGCCATGATAAGCAAACCTAAGAAAAGGCCACTGAAAACTGAAGGATCTGAAAAAGTAGTCTTCTCCTATAACCATGTTGATATTGATATGACATAATGCAGGCAAATAAATCACAGTATAGCGAAGTAGGTAGCTAATATGTTGTTCCTGATTTATCTTGGGTAAGAGACAAAGATTAAGAACAAGTTGGGTAGAGGGAGAATAATTACCTTTTCATGTGCTGGAAGCACGAAAGGTTGTACAACCTTCATTGTCCATGATTTAGCTGAGTATATAGGTAGGCAGGCAAAGTGGATTGGACAGTGAGACCGGCAACCTGGTAATACTGGTAGGCACATAGGAAAATTGATGATGGCGTCCTTTGAAAGTAGGACAAATGGCCCCGTTCGCTTGGCTGAAATTGACTGAAAAAACAAGCCAAAGCTGAAATGTTGTGAGAGAAAAACACTGTTTCGGTTGAAAAAAGAAGCGGATTAAGCCGGCTTTTAAGGTAAACCGAACGGGAAAGGTAAAATCATCAGCCAATTTCACATGCTGGTAGGTACCTCTTGGCTATGATTTCCAGGAGACTGCGCCTAGAAACCTTGTCAACAACTTTAGAATAGGTAACAGACCCCTGCTGTTGTAGCCATGATACAGAAGTCAAAAAAGGAAACGAAGAAATGGAGTAAGTGATAAACTGAGTATATATTTTCAGGGGTTAGGGGGTAAGGAAACATGTTCGAAAAGAATCCATGTAGGAAAAGAAATATGAACATGCACAAACCCTATTGCAAGACAGAACCAAGAAACAAATTTAGCAGACCATGTTGTACCATTAATAACTAATAAGACGCCGACAACAGCAAAGATGAACCATTTCATCTGAACATTGAGAAAACCTAATGTATCATATTTTGGCAAAAGGGTTGGGCTAGTTATTTCACAGTAGAGGCAATATACTAAGTGTCGTGTATATATACTCAAGAGAAACTCAATATTGTCTATTACAAACTTTGACTCTCTAAAACGCTTTGCTAGGAAAAAAGAGTGTGGACAATACATGGCCTCAATAATTTTGCAGATGCACCGGTAGGCATTATGTGATATCTTGAAAGTTCTGTAAACTATAGTAAAGATGAATGTAACAGGAAGGATAAAAATATTTGAAGATCAGAGTAGAAGAAATCACATGTACGTCCGATTGGGAGGACTTGACAGGCTCCTTGGTCCTCAACAAACTTGCAGGTATCCTGGATACGAATAAAAACCAAGAAATGACCATAGATCATAGTAGGCAACCAAATCAGGCATACAAATTTCTGATAGAGTAGCAAGTATTTAGACTGAGAGAAGTCGATGGTGGGGAAAGCTGAAGAACCGAGCAAGGCACAAACGCTTACCTTGGAAGGAAAGGAAGACGATGCAACCAGGGAAGGCTGGCCATAAAAGGGACAAGGCGCACCGGCAATCCACCCTTGTCTATCCTCACCATCCATTTGGGAAATCTGTAGGACGCCACTATCCGCTACACCAAGAGAGACGGAACCACCCAGGCGTGGACAACGCGGCCTGAACTCAACCGCAGCATCACAGATCTAAGGGGGTGGGGGGTGGGGGACCGCTTGGTGGTGGCGTGCGGCAGCAAATTTGGGTCTAGGCCAAGAAGGTTGGGTAGGGTAGGGCTAAGGCCGAAGAGGAGGATGCGACAGTGAAAGAGGAGGGAGACACGGCGGCGAGCACTGAGTAGCAACTCCTGCGCAGAGGGCGGTGCACGGCGCCGAGGGATGATGCCGGCGGCGTTGATCCATGTGGTGGGGAATATGTTAACTGACCTCTTTTGAGCGGAGCCGTCGAGGAGTAGGGAAGGCGCAGGTGTGGTGGCCCTCGATGGGCCACAAATCCATAACCAGAGACTGCTGAAGGTCTGAAGGGGTTGGGCACGCCGGCACGGTACCTATACTCCGTAGAGCACAGGGCAGCAAACCGGATAAGCCCGTAGTCAATCAAGGAATGGACCGGTATTAGACAGTCAAAACTGCCACATGGCGAGATGGGATACGGTGAATCCACGCGGATGGGCCTGGCTGCTCTCCGTTTTATTTACGGTTGAAGATCATCTAACTAATGTCTTTGATGACCGTCTCACTACGTTGAAATCCTTTTGGTTGCTGAGGGAGGAAACCACTTACAAGGCCCTTCGTGTAGGGTTATCTAAAACTTTTAATCTTATTTATAGCAAGGATGTTCAAGTGGATGATAAAAACAGAACCACGCCACACTGTGGCAATGTCTTTTCTTCCCTTCTATGGTTTCTTAATCTCCTGTTGCCGATCGTGCCCATTTGCCTCTTCCACAGCAGCCACAAAAAGGCTTATAGGGGAACCGACATCAAGGTTACATTTATATTATTGTACATCACATACTTTTTGGAGATTTTGTCCTTTTTTACGAATGCACTGCTTTTAGAGGAGTGGTCAGACGGGGTTGTCCAACGTAGTCTTGTAGGATTGCTAGCTTGGAACAGAAGGCACAAAAGACCAAAATTCTTTCAATGCAAAGGTTTGCTTGACACATATTTTGGCTTCAAGCCATGTCGCTCGTCCAAAGATATTACAATGTTGGTTCGTGAACATGTTATGGCTGGATGGATGAGTCATATGACAGATATCGAGAGTTATTGGAGGTTCAGCGACAGCCAAGGCCAGTGGGCACTTGAGCGCAATGGCGGTGAAGAAATCCTTGGGTGGAGTATAGAGAAGCCATTCGACGAGAGCATCATTCTCTGGCATGTGGCCACAGAATTTTTCTTCCATATGAAGGGCACGTCTCATGATTTTGAATGTGCGAGGATGTGTAGACAAATCTCCAACTACATGATGCATCTATTGTTTGCTAATCCTGAGATGTTGTTGCCTGGCAGCAGAAGGAATTTGTTTACAGATGCTTATGATGAACTCGAGGCCATCCTCCAAGGTGATGATCTATCACTGCTGGACGAAAGAGGACTTACACTAAGGATAATTAACAAGGCAGAGTTACCAGAAGGTTTTCTTCGAGACTCATGGGTTCTTGCTCAAGAGTTGATGCAATTAGGTGATGAGAAGAAGATGTGGGAAGTAATCAAAGCCGTGTGGATTGAGATGCTCTGTTTTTCTGCTGGTAGATGCAGGGGTGCATGCCAAGAGCCTGGGCTCCGGTGGGGAGTCCCTGTCCATCGTCTCGCTCCTGATGTCGCATGCAGTACTGGAGACATATGCGGAGAGGCAACAGAGATTGCAGCTTCGGCTTCCCAAAGAGGAGAGAGTGAATATTGCAAAACAAAGAATACAAGGAGCTGCAAAGAACCAAGCTACTGGTGGCTCGTCGACTCCCCAAGGCATGGTTCCTGTGAAGGAAGAAGAGATTGCTACCACTCCATTGGCTTCTCTCTCTCTCTTTTTTTTTTTTTTTTTTTTTTTTTTTTTTTGGCAAACATGCACCGGGACGCAAGCTTTTAAAATAAATGGGCAACTAGAAGCTTTTAAAGAGGACTTGCACTAAAGATAATTAACAAGGCAGAGTTACCAGAAGGTTTCATTCAGGACTCATGGATTCTAGCTCAAGAGTTGATGCGATTTGGTGATGACAACAAGATGTGGGAAGTAATCAAAGATGTATGCATCGAGATGCTCTGTTTTTCTGCTGGTAGATGCAGGGGTTACCTGCATGCCAAAAGCCTTGGATCTGGTGGGGAGTTCCTCTCCTACATATCACTCCTAATGTCGCACGCAGGACTGGAGACGTATGCAGAGAGGCAACAGAGGGTGCAGCTACGGCTTCCCAAAGAGGAGAGAGCGAAAATTGCAGAAGAAGCTGCAAACAAGCAAGCTACTCCTGTGAGGGAAGAAGAGAATGCTACCACTCCATTGGCTTCTCAAGTCGATGGGCAACTAGTAAAACAACAAGAAGATGCTGCCTCTACATCGGCTTCAAGAGTCGAATGCGTTGCCCCCGCCCCTGTGATCAAGGTTGTTGTCTCGCCATAAGAGCAAACAGCAATGTGATGTCTCTTCTGTTTGTATATTCCTGTCAGACACGCTGACTGCAGCGTGCATGTAACATTCCATTCCATGTCTGGTCATTTTGTTTCAGATCTCAATAGTTGAGTTTGCAGTTTGAGCAGTCTAATGCTTCAGCCTTTCTTGATTTGAGTCGGTTGTTAGTAATTCTTGTCTAAGTTTGTTCTTTTGAATATGAGATGGCGAGTTTTAAGTGATCTTTTGGATGTTTGACTGAGCAATCGACTCATAGCATAATCGATAATCCAACTGAAACTTGCACATCTATGATCTATTTGACATCCACGAACACGTGGATTTGTTGGTGCCTTTCAACCTGCATCAGGATGCATCTCATTCTAAGGTCAACGCGTTCATTAGCTTGCTCAAGGGCTGATGCAGCGTCCAGCAGATGGTGGTGCTGATGACGATGGGAAGAAGATGTGGAAAGTAATCAAGGGCGTATGGGTCAAGATGCTCTGCTTCTCTGCAGGTAGATGCAGGGGTTTCCTACACGCCAAGAACCTTGCCTACGGCGGGGAGTACCTCGCCTACGTGGCGCTCCTCATGTCCAACGCGGGGCTGGAGACGTCCGCGGACAGGCAGCAGAGGATGCCGCTCGGCCTTTCCAAGGAGGAGAGGCTGCAACGAGCAAAGAGGACCGCCGCAGGCGCGGCTGTTGTGATCGAAGAAGAAAACTCTGCCGCCACTCCATCGACGGCTTCGGCCCAAGGTGAATGCACTACTGCCCCAGCTTTGGAGGTGGTGGTTGCTGAAGCAGTATAAGTGACTCGATGCTGCATACACATCTTACCTTCTTTCTTTGAAATTGTGTTCACCCTGTTCACCTTCCACGCATGAGCGTGACTTAGAACGTTGCCTTCTTTCTTTCGTCATATGTTTCCTTTTTGGGAACTGCTCCAGTACTCCTTAAAAAGAACTGCATGTATCTCAAAGCAACCTATTTAATTAGTTAACTTCTTTTCTTAGTTATAACATTTGGTCCTGCATGGGCGTGGACCTTCCAAGCCCAGATTAGTTCAGCCCAAATCCAGTCCACGGTAGCCCTGTGGACAGGGCGGAGGTGCCCACGCTTGCGTCCTCGACTGAGAGCTGAAGAGGCCTGTCAAGCAAGACGCTCCGCGCATGGCTCCTTGTGAATCGTACATACAGGCCTACAGGGTCTCCGTATACGTCGTGTATTGGTTGTACACGTGGGGTCTCCGGAGGAAGGCGTTCAAGGCTTGCGAGTTTGAACTCAGCGGAACGACGACACGCAGCATGCTGCAGCAAAGAACACAAATGAGGCGGCATCCAATCCAAGGTGCCTCTCCGTGGCTAGGATAAAAATAAATGGACTGGAATTGGTCTGGGCTTAGAAGGGCTAGGGGCCTAGGCCCAAGCGGGATCCAGATGTATTTTATATTATAAAGTGTTTAGTTAATTACATATGCTTTGAGATGCGTGCAATTTCTAGAAAGGAGGAGTACCGGAGCCCTTCCCTTTTTGGGATCTTAAAGATTGTATATTGTCGCTTGAAAGGCTCAAATTGACAATCATTAAGTAAGCTTCGCATTTTAAAATGGTGGGAGGAACAGACCGTTGGTCTCTCGCGTCGTCTCGGTCGCGAGGCGACTCGAGGGCGACCCAGCCCAGCCGTCGACCACCTCGTTCTCTCCGGCCAGCTTGGCCATTGCTGCCATGGACATTCGCCAGCAACAACCGTGGCGGGGGTAGCCAGCGGGCAGCACCCAAAAAAGCTCGCCCCCGGATGTTCCATTCTCCTTTCCCCAATCCAAAATCTTCCCTAAATCTCTCGATCTGTCAATACTTTGGTCAGATTCTTGGTACTTGTGGCCAGATCTGTGCTCGTGGGGGATGGATCCATGGAGGAGGAAGCCCTCGGCGGGGCTAGGCGCTCGGGTGACCAGGTGCCCTACGCTTGCCTCCACGGCCCCTGCTGGATGTTGTCACGATGGGGCATCGCCGGTCCCCTACGTGCTACTGATCGTGGTCGGCAAGTTCGGCTTGCTGCGCTGCGCTCTGCGTGGGCTTCCGCAAGCATATGGAATCTAGGTGAAAACCCTGCCTGGCTGCTACTCTAGGCTAGCGACGATGGCGCAAAATGGTGTCATATCCGGCCCAGGAGGCATCGCCGTAGATTCCAATTTCTGCTATGGCAGAAGCCTTTTAGAGGTTGGTGCATCAGTTGGGCAGGTCTCGGGTGAAAGCCCTTATGAACCTGGTACTCCAATAGTCGATGGCGGTGTATGTGGACGTCACTTTCCTTCTTGAAGCCATCGATACAAGCACACTTGCCCTCCTTTGTTGCTCATGTCCCCCCCGCGTGTCCTTATGCTGCTCTCCCTAGTTGCTCTCTCTTCACATCTTGTTTTTGGTCTAACTTCCCGTTTCGCACGCACACAGGACCGCCCCACACCGTCCGGATGACTCGCCCCCGCCCCCAGCTCAATCCCCACGCGGACGCATTGGGCGCCGATCACCTCCACCGCGTCGGACTCCTATGCTGAGGAATTGCACAGGCCTCTTCTGCACCGGCGCCGTGCATCCTGTGCCTCCTCCTCACATCACCGGCAGTGGCCTGCGCCTGCTCCACGTGTCGGTGGCCGCGGCCTGGCCCTGCCGTCCTCGATGACACCAACACCGGCGGTCTGCACTTGCAACATAAAATACTTGCTGCAACATACTGCTGAAACAGATGAAACATTTGGAATATACTCTTGCAACATATGTGTATAGCAACTGCAACATCCAGATAAAACAGTTGCAACATAAGTCTGAAACAGATAAAATATTTTGAATAGATGCTTGGAACATACCTCTGAAACACTTGCAACATCCCGATCTACTTTTGCAACATCCATATGAAACACTTGCAGCATACCTCTGAAATATCTGAAACACTTGAAACATATACATTTGCAACATATGATTTTAGCCCAACATCTCCTTGCTGTGGTCGGGCGTGGCAGCGGCCATAGCCTTTCTGGTGGGGAACTGAGGTAGTGGAAGCACCTCGATGCGGTGGGGGACGGGCGCAACGCGGCGTAGTTGTAACACCCCTGGTGTTATGAGCTTATTTAGCACCGCGATTTAGGCCTAAGCCAAATTTTCGAAACGAGTTTCTTGGATTTTTTATTTAAAACGTATTCGACGCGATACGCGAATCCTGTGTGACTTAGTTCGTAGACTCGAATCAACGCCCAAGTTAAATTACGCAGTGTATATAAATATTTAGGAATAGCGAACGGCGATGCCAGCGAGCGGTATGTTGTGTTAGATTAAGCATGAAAAGCAACTTTTATAAATAAAATAAAATCCATTAATAAATTGAACGGTATATATATATGCTCCTGTGTTTATTTTGAGAAGCACGTTCAGTTGAAAGGCCTTGGGTTTAGTTATTGACTTGCGAGTGAACGACTCCACAGCGATGACGGGACGTCTCCCTGCCTTGCTCCGTCGCTTGTCGTCAGTAGTGCGTTCCCCCTTGTTCAAAATCAATCAACTCCGGTTTATTAGCGTCGCGCCGCATCGTCGAGTTCCGTCGTCGTGCCACTGCTCCCTCTCCATCGCGTCCTTTCTCGGATGATCGCCTTTAAGGAAGTTGGCCGATCCGTGTAAATATCATCGCCCAGCTCATCCAGCTCACTCTCGCGTCGTGTCCTGGTCCAGCACCGCTGCAACGCTGTCTGCTTCTCGGCTGAGCCATGCCACTGATGTGTCTGCGCCTGCACATTGTCACTGCCGTTCAGTCGCCGCGCCAAGACAAGGCCAGGACGGGTCACAGCGACAAGGGTCACCTCCGTGTCACTGCTGCTGCTTTCGCTCTGCGCCAACACCATCTTTTTCCTCCTTGCGAGTGCGACTGGGCCCTGGAGTACTGCCGCTGTGGTCACGCAGTCCGTTGTTTCCCCTTTTCCCTTCGCGTATGTGCGCACGGCTCTGCATCGCCTCCTCTCCTCTGTACACAGCGGCGCCCTCCTTCTTCTTTCCGCGCGCGCGAGCCCCCACGCCCTCGCTGGACCGCAGTCCTAGCTTCGGCTCACTCTCCCCACTCTCTCTCTGCTTGCCTACTCGTCGGGCCGTGGAGGCCGCAGCGGCACCAGGTCGCCATGCCGAGCGACCCGCAGTAACCGAAGCACTTGCCCGACCGTGCCTTCCTCTTCATGTGCGCGCCGCCGCTGCAAAGCTGCCGTGCGCCGGGCACCCACCCCCCTCCTTTTCCTTCGCTATCGCGGTCGTGTGCGGCCACCATGCCCCCTGACCTCGCCGAGCCGCCGAGAACCGGAGCCGCCCCACCGAACGCGACCACGGTTTCCCCGCGCTGCTTTTCGGCGCCCTCGCACCGCCTGGCTGCTGGCCAGCCGGAGCCGCTCGCCTTCACGCCGTTGCCACCGTCCGTCCGATCGGAGCCGCCGCTGCCGATTTGCCGCCTTCCGCGGTTCGTGCGGGCAGGCTACCATGGGGCAGCTTGGGCCTTGCCGTGGTCGGGCCGTGGTCGCGCGAGTTCCCGGGCAACTCTCCGGCGGGTCTCCCGCCACCGCAGTGCCTTCCCGGCCGGGTTTGGTCACCGGCCGGAGCTCCTCTCCGCTGGTGCTCTGTTGGGGGAAGATGAAGAGGTGGGTAGAAGGGTAAGAGTCCAAGAAGAAGCATTATACAAGGTCTTATTTGCAAAATATGTGGCTCGTCTGAATAGTGTCTAGTGTACCGCGAGTTGATTTAGGGAAAGTGCAGGGGTCGTTTTGCTAATGTGCCGCGCCATCAGCTGCCTGGGCCGGCCTGCTACCGTTATTCCTACGCCTGGGCCACTGCCGGCTTGGCTGGGCCGCGAGCGCGACTGGGCCGCGAGCGCTGCGCCCCGCCTGGGCCACTGCTTGCCGATGGGCCGTCTGCTTGGCTGAATGGGCTGCGGGTGCATGGGCCTCTTGGCCGCCCGCGTGGGCCATGCTGGCCGAGGCCGGCCCGAGTGCCCATCTCTTTTCTAAGTTTTTGTTTAAATGGCCGAAACTTGTAAAATCGATATAAAATGGTATAGGAGGTCAAAAATTATTAAACCAGTTTTGTTGGGTCTCTAAAATTAGGATCTACCTATTAGTACATTTTGTGCACATAGTTCGATAATATTTTTGGGAGCTATATAATTAATCTAAGATACTTAATATTGCAAAAATATAAACTTGTATGGATTTTCGTGATAAATTGGTAATATGGTTAAATCTAAAATTTGTACAGTAGGTTCCTAGCAATACTAGGTACTCGCTGTAGTTCTTGTAGCACCAGAATAATTAGTTTGCTACATAGATAACGATGCTCTAATTCGAATAATGATTAAATCGATAGGATGAAATAAAGAAACAACTCGGGTATGTAACTAAAATATTTGTTGGGAAATGATGGCTTATTCGACAACATGGGTGCGTAGACCAACGTTAGAGCTATCTCATTAGCTCGTGAGGCGTGATCGAATTTCTAAGCATTTCGGCTATCGTTGATTATTTACATTTATGCATTTGCATCAATGCATATCATATAGGTACGATGTTGGATCAACGAATCAATTGAAGGATGATTGGGAATCTGAAGATGGTGTAATGGTATTTTCTCCAGGAGATGATGCAATGGGCCTTCTATCCAGTTGATGGTGGATGATCTGAAGATGCAGATACTAACTTTTTAATATATCTTACCCAGGCAAGCCCCGGTGCATAACCCCTACTTTTCTGCAGTTTAAATTATATTTGTGCATTAAGTTTTAAGGAGTT